TTTATATAATAGTCACAATTCTAATTCTTTTTTCCTTACACTTATACAAATTATGATATTTGAATAATATAAGTAGTCACATATTAGCCAAACCAATGATTACCCATACAGTCTCTTGTCCATTGTGTTTGACATATCCAACACCAATGATACTCACAGCCTGCTCTAGTGCAAACCATGTGCATGCATCCCCCTGTAAAATAATGTAATGAATTTAAAAATATAAATTTGTTAAACATTTAATCTTCTTTTGATATTTTGAGGTACCATCTCTTTCAGTTGGAGTTCTACATTTTGGACATGGCTTCGTTGAGATTTTTATAGTTTTCTTACTGGCTTCATCCCATTTTGCCTAAATAAAATATCATAAAATAGCATATTTGATTAATAAATAAATGTGACGTAAAAGATACTGCATACATCTTTCAATCTCTGTGGATCCACTGAATATCCGGATTGATTTATTGTATTAGAAGACTCAGATGGCTGTAATTCACATTCTCCTAAGTGAAAACCTTGTAAACATCTTCTGCAAAATACATACTGAAATCAAAAATATACTATTACATTGTAAATAGTTGAAATTGACTGTCTTAGAAAATTTTTATTTATATATAGTTACCCCACAACCACCAATACACTGAATTCTTCTACATTCATCAGTACCATTGTCTGGAGATCCTGGTATAATACCCATACCACAATCTGGTCTTGGACATAAAAGTCCACCAGCTCGTAAAACATATTCTTCTGTACTAAATCTTTGATATTGTTCATACTATGTAATACATATATAGTTAATATTTTAAGATGTTTTAAATATATACTTTATATAATATACCTGCTCTGGAGTAAGAAGATGAAAATGATGAACTTCTGGAATAAAAGAATTTGAACATCCAGCTGGACATGGAAGTGTATAATATCCTTGATTCTCATCAAATTGAAACTGACGTTCTCTTAAACGAACGGAACAGTAATTTTTAAAACAATCAAGGCAAGTTACATGACCAGCTTCACATGGAAAAACAAAAACCATGTCTCTATAAAAAGGGCCACAGTTATAAATGTTATTTCTTTCTACTAATATTAAGTTCAATAAATGATTCACCTAACATCTGTGCAAGCAAGGCAAGGTATTTTTCTTAAATTTGGTTTTACAAGGTAAAGAGGAACTGCTTCATCCTCTTCTCCCAAACTAACATGATTTCCGCATTTAAAATAGAAACGTGCATATAAAACTTGAGATTCTGTATCATCATTAGAAATGTCTATAGGTACTGGACAAAAATTGTTTTCACAATGAACTGTTATTCTTCGTGGTAGTAATACATCTGGCCAACATTGAGGATCTCTATCTACTGTAACTGCTCCACTATTACAAGTTGCACACTTTACTCTTAATTTTCCTACTGTTACAGCTTTACAAGGTGCTGAACAGTATACAAAGAAATGTGCTCGGTTATCTTGTTTCTCTATGAATGTAAATGGTATATTAATAATATGTTTATAAAATTACAGCTGTCTGTTTTACACTACAAACTGTGTTTGATTAATATTCACTTTAATCAGTCATGTTTACCCTTTAAAAGGTTACGATTATTCTACCTTCCATGGATGAGTTTTTTTCTGGATCTGAATCATCTAAAGGTAAATCAGTAAGAGTTTCATTCATTGGCTTTCCACCACTATCATTTAATTCAGATAGTTCTGAAGACTCATCAATTGTACTTGTATCTTTACTTTTATTAAGTTTTTGGTGTGGAGTACGAATTGCATGTAAGATACTTTGCTGACCCAAGTCACATTCCTACGACAAAAGTTCTGATTAAGTGAGGTTATCACACTTAAATTGTTTTGCACTTTAAAAATAAACATTGTCAATAGCTTATCTTGTAAAATATACAAACTTACTTCTAGTATCGTTGAATTGTGTAATTCTTTGCCAGCAAATATTATTTTTATATCTTCAGGTGATACTCCCATTTGAAATGCTATTATCTCTTTTACGTTTTTTATATCCCATTTCGGATCTAAATCAACGGCAAGTGTATTTCCCGTATTCGTTTTAACAAATATACTCAATGAATTTGTTATTTTCCGTTTACCGAACCAAACTGTTTGCAGCATCTTTAGTAACACGTTCCATAAAAAGTCAAGAATAAAATTCATACTGTTCACTGCGAACGTCGTTTATTTCAACGTTCTTTAAGGAAGAAAAGAGACAGAAAGTATCATCGAACTACAGTATTAAATCGAGTGATCGTTACTGCTGTGGTAATTAGCGTACTGTAATTTACATTATCTAAAACTGAGCTAAATTAAACGTTACAAAGTATCTTGCGACATCTTCAACATAACGAGTAACTAAAAAATTCTAGAAAATTCAATAACTGTTTAGCTTCATTAAACTTGATGAAAAACTTCCAGGTGCGTTACATTACGTTTTAACCTCCTTTGTAGCAAATAAGTACTGTTAATAATTATTCACTTTCTCTAAATAAATGTTATATTAAAAATAGTAAACTTTCAATGCAGTATAACATTATATTTTCTTTCAATATATTATTTTATGAAATGATGGGAGTATAACATTAGGTTATACTTCTTTTTATGAATACTGCGATGTATTCTTCGACTTTATTTCGATATTTACTCGGAAAATTTAAGAAATATCAAAAAGCAATAAAGATAATAGGTAAGAATCGTTAAAGAATCACCTTTTAGATGCGAGCATAAGTATTATATTTCTTTTCATATTGAACATCCAACAATTCAATTTACGCGGTATAAATTTGGTGTTATATAATCAAAAACTTTAAACGTAGTATGTGTACAGAATTTCAAACATAAATTTCATCATACACAATAGCATTTCGAAAAAATCAGAAACAGCAAAATATTCAGTATTCAACGATACTGAATCTTTTCGAAATAAAAATATACGATTTCATAAATAAATAAATAAATAAGTATATAACATTTTATTTAAATAGCATTTGTGATTCGCCACTGTTGTTTGCCTTTTACAAATCGCACTGAAATTAATGAGGTTACCGCCTTAATCTTAGGTTTACTTTTTGTATCAATTTGTTTTCGCCTTTTGCAATTGTCTTTCCTGTCGTCTGTACCTCTCGTATTTACTCTTTTTAAGGAAGATACTCTTAAATCTGAAGTGTTGTTTTTTGAAGTTGTGGCTAACGATATCTCGTTGTAATTAATTGTTTTTTCTTTTGCGTTTAATCGTGATGCGAATTTTCGAACTTCGCGTATCCTCTGCAATTCTGATTCCGTCACGTTTGCCATTTCTCTTTTCGACATTTTCGTATCAGACTCGGAATTTTCACGAAATCTTTTCTTTCTTTTCTTTTTTTTAACCAAATTTTTTCTGAAATCCTTCAAATTGTTTTCAGTACTTTGCTGATATATTGGAGACGAAGAACTTGACCCCAATTCTCCCTTTGTTTTCTTAGCCCTACATTTTTCAAGAAATTGGTTCAGGGTTATCCTCTCTCTGGTTTCGTCCTTTACATCACGGTCGTCATCATCCCTTTCAGGGAAATTGTACACATCGTTATATCGAACCCATTTTCGTGAATATTTGTCACAGTGTCCACACGCAACGGCCATCTTCTTACCTGATTCAGTTACTACACTATTTACATTGTACCATTCTTCTGCAGCTTCGTCTAAATGTCCAATTAATCACAATTTAAAAGGTAAATCCATTATTTGATATTATCTTACCGTAAAGTATTTTATCACTTACTTTCATCGTCCTCGTCGTCGGTCTCGTTATTTCGTTGTCTATGACGTCTGGTCAATAACGATTTCTTTCTGTCATTATTAGGTGATGCAAGATACTTGCTAATTGTTTTGTGATTATTCTTAACGAAATCATCCCAAAGAAGATTACTCGACGCCGTTGGAATTGGCACATCGACCAACCATTCTTTGCATTTTTCAATCCTCAAATCATTTCCTCGTGGTTTCGTTGGCCTCAGACCAAGATACGTCTTAATCGTCCTTTCTCTTCCTAAAATACAATCACGCTAAGTTATTTTCGCAAAAATATTTTCCAAAATCTTGTTCATTGATTAACGAAAAAAGCTACCCCCTTGAGAAGTTATTTTCTTTTCTAACTAATCAAATTTTCGTTTTTTTAGTTGCAATTGAACCTAACCTACACATGTTTGAGTACAAGATGATTACGAATTCGAGAATGTACACACAAATAATATCACATAACGACACATACAACAATCAATTCAAATGGACTATAACAATTGGAACATTGTAATTACTGAGTTTTAACGAATCCTCTTCCTCATCGGTATCAAAATAATATATATTAGAACAAAATGGCAATTCCTTCAAAGGCAACGTTCCCTCTTCCTCGGTAAAGCTGATCCTCTTTGGACTTTCGACTTCCTGTCTCCTAAATGGAAAAGGTGACGATTCCAGGTGGTCATCGATGAAACGTGGTGCTTCTCGAACCCTTTCCGGAGATTTGAACAAGACATCATTCCCGGACCCAGAAGTGACCACCTTGAACGAAGGCTGTCGAAAAGTCTCATCATACGTTTCCCAATCTTTATCAGAGTCCACCTGCAGGGTTGGCGTTTTCTTCTTCTTCTTCTTCTTCTTCTTCGTCTTTTGTCTTTCTTTTTCCTCGTTTTTTTTCTCCTTTCTTTCAAGCTCCCTCGTCAGCTGCTTTCTTTTCTTTATCCGTTTTTTAAGAGGAACCTTCTGTATTACTTGAGGTTTGCCTTGTCCTCTTGTACTCGACGAAGAGTTGGTATCAACAGCGGAAACGCTTATGCTACTCGGCCTGCGAGCACCTTCCACAGGCGTGCTGCAGAAATGTGAATTTCGTTTGTCAGCGATCATTCGCTTCTTCTTCAACTTCTTAAACGACGAAGACATCCTTTATCTCTTTCACATTTCAAACGTTATCTCTGTTAATTTGCTTCGATATATGATTCATTAATGTATTGAACGATTTCGTATGAACAACTCATCGATAATTTCCGATATCACCCGGAAGTTTTGCTGTTGTTTCGAGTGAAGGGTTGGACAGCAGATGCTGTTCGTAATTGACGCGCGAAAAGAGGCTGATATCGACCAGTTTCGTGTTTCTTCTTATATTTTGTCTTTGGAGGAATGGTGTATCACATTCTCCGTTATTTTTAGAACACGGTAAAGAAGTGATTGATTACACACTTGGACGTCATTTTTTCGTATGCTTGATTTTTTTTTAGAATATTTGTTGGTAATTTAGAATGAACGTATTAGTAGACACAGGAAGTGTCGCAAATGTGAATACTGGCGAACGACTGACAACAGTTGTCCAGAAAGTCTTTGAAATTTAATCTGTTTATGTACATATACATAAGTATGTACGGCGTATAGGACAGAACAGTTTTTGTATTTAAGAATGGTTTATGATGTCGGTGTTGTGTTCATTTCGTACCTGGTAGGGGAATACGCAAATAATGTTTGTGTATAATGGAAACTTTCATTCGAGAGTACGGTACTGAAGAAGAGTTATAATCAGATCGTTTGTGTTGGACAGGCGTAAATTCTTGCGAGTTTTATAATGATTCATCCTAGACGAACTGTCCACAAAATTATCGCGTAAATTCTTCGAAGGTTAGCTTATCGATGCATCGAATCAATGTCGATCAACTTCCGTGAGAAGAAATTACGCGATTTGATATAAAAATAACGTGGACGAATCATTTCAGTTTGCCTGGGTTTGGTAAATAATAATATCAGTAGAAATGTTCCTTAGAAATAGTTCCTGTTTAGATACTTTAATTATTAATAATATGAGATTTAACAAGTACAGAGTAACATTCTGTAAAAAATTTATATTTATGTTATAAATCGATCAACATTGGAAGGGCGCTCGCGTGACACCGTGTCGCTACGGCACTGGTTTCCAAAGGTACCTACTGCCCGCGCCACTCGGCACACCGTCAGTGCACGCTGGCTCACCGTGCCGGCGACATTGTGTCTTGTTTTTCGTGCTAACCTTCAACTTGTCAGCTAATATCGTTGTTTTCTCGTTTATTCCTTGTTGTATCGTATTCTCTGCAAGTTCTACCACATTGTAACAATCATTCGAGTCGAGCATCGACAGTATCAACGATCGCCATTCGCGAAATCGATATCGAAGAGGTTAACAATAAGAAAAAGTCGAAGGGTGAAGGCGGTTGAAAACGATCGGGATGCCGGCAGACGCGGAGCTCAGTAATCTGCTTAGTAGGAGGCAGAGGATCAACGAGGAGCTTGAGGAGGGCAAAGACGTGAAAAAGCAATACAAATTCGTGAACGTTTACACGGAGTTCCACGAACTGTCCCGTCGCGAGATCAAGCAGTACGAGCAAACCTTCAACAGGTGAGGACCTTCCGCTTCTTTCTTCTTCTGCCCGCCTTATAATTTCACTGGTGGATCGTGTGTAGAAAAAGCCGGGAAATATTTGTCGTACGTTGTCACCCTGAATGAATGTTCTTAGAACGAGCTCGTGGACCTATATTTTTCCCTTCAGAAGGGAACACTTTCTATGGGTATTTCTTTGTGCGTAGAAAAGTTTGTATAGCATTGTTCGATCTGTCGGTGCGTTCTAGGAAGACCAGGTTACCCATTGATCAACCTTAGGGATATTTTATTTGAGTGTTGATAAATTACGTTTGATAACAGAGTAACATGTGATATTTATTATTTCCACGGTATATTATACAAAAATAAAAGAAAATAAAGGGTCAATAATTGTTCAATTAAGGTTAATAGAGTCGTCTGGTAGGACAGATAGTTTTTTGTTCCGCCATCTTTGATTTCTTATTATTTGAACCAATAAGAGATGGCTATTCGTTCAAATAAGTTAATTGTGAAATATAAGTGTGTTGTGTATGCTTTGGTGATTTTATTCTTTATCAAAGCAAGTTTCTTTCGTCTTCGTTGTCAATAAGGAATCTGAAAATACTACGCATGATAATCGAGAGTGAATCACAGCTCCTGTCGCGCTCGCCTGCGGTTTTCCTGCTTGTTTACGTTTTCTCGCTCGAGTTTACGTTACTCCCTACGGACAGATCATGTTACTTTGGTCAGATGCTTTTTGTGCATATGAGAATACACGAAATGAAATAACGCTGGGGTTTGGTTGAAACACAATACGCCTTATTTTATTACTTCTGGTGTTTCGGTCGTAGATTCGACTAATTGTTAAAATACATCCATTTGTTAAATATAATCTATTATTTATTGTTTATCGTCACAATTGAATTTACGAGATATCCTATTTTCTTCAAAAGTAGAATAATGTTTATCATTCTTTTATCGTCGAATAAATTAGAAATTTACATTACATTGTATTACGCGTAATTAAATATATAGAGCTGAACGTGAACACCGGTAATTCAACGGGATGGTGGATTTTCATCGATGTTTCGTAATTAAAAATACAAATGTAATACGTGACGTATGTTCCGAGATATTTATCTCATAAGTGAAATGAAACTTCTGTATTCGAAATATCTCCAGACTTTTTAGTCTGTGACGTGTCTCGAGTGAGGAAATTTCAAGCGATTTAGAAGTTCGTGGAAACAGACTTAAAGTATACGCGTACGATAGAAGCTTTTCGTTGGTCACCTTGCTCGTTGCGTGGCGTGGCGTGGCGTGGAAAAAAAAAGGAAGAAAATGGAAAAGTCACGCGTTGGTCGTTACGAAACCGCAGATGGCAGAATTCGTGACGTAGTTATTTCGTAGCACGCAGCCAGAGAAAAAGAGTCTCGTGCTGAAGCGTGTGCACAGGCGTGTTGCAGGCCAGGACAGACGACCTCGAGGTCTGTCCTCCGTCTCTCTTGTTCTTCTTGTAGGTATTTCGGAGTTAACCGGACAGCAGGTTTGACAAGGCAGAAGCAGGGTGGACGGCCGGCCACTTGTGCATCCACAAAAGCGCATCCTCGTGGTCTAGCCACGAAATCTCGTCCGTGATGCGATCATTTTTATCAAACTTACGTATAAATGTACTTTTCGAAAAAAATATTTAATACGTATTCTTTTCTTACGTGTTAATTTCCAAATTTAAGGTTACCTGTCGATTTGAGTGTAAAATTATCTCAAGTTGCTCTCGGGAATTAAACTTATCAGTTTACACGGCATTGAGAGTGCTGGCCAAGAGCTGAGAGTACTCTCGAGAGCAACTATCGTAACAAAACTCTCAGATAGACATATACCTTAAGAACTGAAATTTCAATTTTTTTTTTTTAAATGAAACCCCTCTATATTTCTCTACAAAAATTTGAAAAACCATCGAAAACAGTAAAAATAAATATCAAAGAACAATAAATCTATTTGCAACAGAAGTTCTATTCTGTTTAAAACCAGATTTACGTTAGAGAAATAAAAGTTTAACTAAAATGAAAAAATTACAGAAATTTCCGTCCGTTCTTCCCTTCACACCCTGTGCAAAAAAGAAATTCCCTCTGGGGCGAGTATTTTCACAAAAGAACACTCGATCCCGGAGCATATTTTCCAGGAACGACGCTTTCCAATTCTATTCACGGAGCGAGTATGTACCTCTAAACGCGGCCACTGATAAAACAAGCGTCGTTTAATTATTTATGCGATCAACCAAGGAGATAGCCGATAAATCTCGCGGTACGAAAGTTTCACCGCGAAACCAACCACGTGGATAGGTATCATGTACGATGGATGATACCTCAGCCGGAAAGACGTTTAGATATATATCCGTGTGCGCACAGTCACCATCCAACGAGAGTTGTCCTTGTCGTTAGAGAAACCTAGCTACCCACTTTTCCTCACGTGTCTTTCCTTCTTACTAAAACTCGTACTCCCGACCAGCTTAGTTAGTTTTCCTTCGTTTCGCAAAAATTGTCAACTGGGTGAATTTCCGTCCGATACCCACGCGGATAGTTCAACCACCAACTCCATTAAACTCTCCAACAGAGGGTATAATGGAGCTTTCTTCGCAAGCTTGCGTGGAATCGAGAGGCGAATTGTTCGTGTGTTTTACGAAACCAAACGGGGGGGAATACCCTATATTCTTCTTTATTTCTCGGTTTTAGACTTGGTGTCTTTTAAAGTAAGATCAACGAGGAGAAGAAGTTTGGAAACTTTTCTTCGGTTAGAAACATTAATTAAACACCCGTGTGTCCCTCTCTATCTCTCTGCCTGGAGAAATCTGGAGAACTAGGAGAGCAATTAAAAAAGAGCAGCATTTTAACGATAAATTTCCTCCGACGTGCGTTTCCTTTTCCATTTTACAATTCATACGTAGAAATCAGGTGTGATGATACACTTGGCTATCTTTATCTGAATTTCGTATCTGTACTCTCGGAGGAAATATTTATCCAATGCTTTTTCCCCTCTTCTTATCGAAATGTGTAAGTGGAGCGTAGTGTGTGCGATAAGTAATTTTTCCAGGAAAGCTCTTTCATTCCAGAGTTGGCTAAAAGTTAATCCATTTAGCAGAGACATCTTCTCTGTGAGAAAGTACGCGTATATCGTAAGCCAGTTTCCAAGTTTTCGATCGTACAGCAGTCTCTCTAACGCAGGAAAAGTTTCCACGTAACGAGAAGAATATGAAAATTGATAACGTTGCTTTTGTTTCGTGGGACGAACCCGGAAAAGGATAGAATTTGAAATTTGACGAAAACGAACCTTGTCGATACGCAGCTATTCTAATCGTATTCTACGCGAAGAAGAGGAGAATTCCAGCCGCCAAGGCAAGCCGAGTGATTTACCTTGCAATTTAACCCCTGTACACGTGAACACGTTAAAAGTATTCATTGTAAACATTTTAATGGACATTCTGGACACTTGGAAGGGGAGATATTACGACTTTCTTACGCTTAGGCGACGACACCGAGAATGAACGTTAAACCCATTGGAGCAAACTTTTCACGAAGCATTTTTATTACTGTACAAATGGTAAACAGTTGGGAAATCACTATGTTGGCTACCTGAATTTGCTTAAATACCTTTAATAAAGATTCTGATGACTTAGAACGGTGATATTACGTTAAACGACGCCATTAAGTATATCTGTTAAATGCATCGCGCTGCGTAGATTGTGGATAATTAGGAAATCTCTTGTTTAAATAAATTAGACGAAGTATCGTCGAGTGTTTAGCCAGGAGTTAGCTTTGATTTATCAGAGATTTACCACTCTCTCTCCTGTCAATATCTCAGTTTGTACAAAACATCCTAATGACCGTTCTGGCGACTTACGAAGGCAATGTTATGACTGTTTCTTATCTTAGGTGACGTTGAACAGGGTTCTGTGTGTGTGTATGTGAAAAACATCGAGGAATAGTTTTTGTTTTTGTTTTTTAAATAACAGTCAAGGGAAGAAATTCGACATAGTACGAGTAAGTGTTCGATTGAACATCGTCGATTGATTAGTTTGTTTTGACTAATTCAAGGATGCAAATAGTTCGTTTTATCTGTCGGTTGTTTCACAGCTCACTTTCTGGTTCAGTGATTAAATTTACACAAACCTTGATCTTCTTTTATACGTATTTTTATCTCAGAGGCGACTTTTCTCTTTGCTCCATCTCGCTCGTTCGTATCAGCGACCCAGTTCGTTCAAAATGAATATATATACATATATGTATCCACTGCTATTTCAACGGTGATGCGACTGTGATTAAAAAATTACCAGGATCGGATATTTCACGGGGGGAAAATGTCTCGTCGTCTGTTATCAAGTTGGAAAGTTAATGAGAATTCGGTGACAAAGGCTAGGGAGAACCAGTGTCCTGATAACCGACTGAACACTTATCACAAGACTATAAATACGTATCTCCATTTTGTGCCGTGCTCTGATATATAGGTTCGCTGACATTTGATAGTAAAACGTATAGTTTGTCATTTGGTCGTGGATGAGACCACGTAGGTGGGATTTATCTGTCCTCCATTTCCTGTTTGGGTAGCCGCCTTACCTTAACTGCATTTTAAATTCCCGCAATTAACTGACTGCAGAATTTTTAAAAATGTAATCATTTCACGCTGTTGCAGGGGTAATTGTGAGTTTAGTAAACCTACAGTGAAATTAAGCTTAATGCGTTTTTACCGACTGTGCACTTGAGGTTTTTGGGTCTTTTTTGACCCAGAATCTTTTGGGTCACCTTTGGGGCTTTCTTGGTTCAAAATCTTTGGCTCTTTTGGCCCAAAATCTTCGGGTTACCTTTGGGTCTTTTTTGACCCAGAATCTTTGGCTCACCTTCGGGTCTTTTTTGACCCAAAATCTTTGTCACCTTTGGGTCAAAAAATCCCCAAAAACACACGAGCCTAGGCACTAAACTTTCACTATAATGTTAAGGGAAAATAAACTTGGTAACAGCAAAAGTTATTTAAAAAATAAAAAGGCAATG